TTAATCGTGGTAATGACGTACCGATTGCTAATCGCTGCACAAATTACGCCAATACTGCACCGCGCGCGAGCGTCTCTCTCTACTTCCGCCGTGTCTGCCAGTAGATATATACCCGATGCCCTGCGCATCCCTCGCTGTTTACTCGTTCTCTCTCTCTCTCTCTCTCTCTCTCTCTCTCTCTCTCTCTCTCTCTCTCTCTCTCTCTCGTCTCGCCGTTCTCCTTTATTTGCCGCAAGTGACTCATCGAAGGGGTTGTCTATCGCGTGTGTAATCGAGCACATGTTAACTCCCGGGGGGTGCCTCCCTATCCTTCCCTCTCCTCCCCCCCCCCTCCAATCCCGTGCCGTATGTTCACTGCAGCTCGAAACCTCAGGTGCAAACGCACACGCACGCTCCTGTGTTACGCGCCGAGTTGACACACGCGTTTGGTATATATAAATAGATAATACGAGATGATACCTGACACCGCGCCGAAATATATATATACGCGATGGCGTTACGGGGAGAGAAAATATTCCACGGATTTAATTCGGCGATTTAATTCGATCGATAATCGCGAGGGAAATCTGAAATATTCGACATCAATTTTCCATGGAAACGTATATAACTTTTCCGTTATTACTGAAATATTTAGTAGAGTTCTTGTTCGATATAATATATTTTAGAATCAAAACCGAGAATCGTAGTCACATTATATCAATTAAGTCGACTGTAATAAGTGCAGTGCTAAGCACTCTTTCTCTCAATCTCTCTTTTTTCGCAGTTAATATTGAATTCTTCTTTAACGTCTTTCGATTAATGCGAGCGGGGGGGGGGAGGGGAGGGGGATAATCGCGAAGAGAGAAAGGATCGAGTCCTCCCGCCTGGCAGGTCAAATCATTTCTCGCATTCACTTAATAGGCAAGACGGGAGGAGAGCCCGTTCCTCTAAATAGCGCCATCCCAACCCACGGGGAGGGGTAGGGGGGGGGATTAAACGAGGCGATAAATCCGGACGTCGCGCATTTATGCATGAAACAATCGGGCAGAGTGCCCCGCTCCAAAAATTCGTCTCCCTCGGAGCCGACGCGCGTTTATCGCGCGTATACTATATGCGCACGGGATCGCGCGTCTTACTTACGTACATATACACGTACACATACACGCGACACGTACGCGTATTATTATTATTATACACGTACGCGAATCGTGGCGTGGCGACCCGTTCAAGATAAGCCCTCGATATCAAGCGCCGACACCGATAAGCGACATTCCAGGCACCAGTTCTCGCGCGCGGCGCCCGTCGTCGCTCGTGTCAACAATTTCGCGCCCGTGTTCCATCCCGACGACGCGACGGCGGCGCGCGGCGGTTTAGCTTTCACACCCGCGTGATATCCCGTGCGTTCGACCCGTGCGTTATCGATAACTTTTTCGCTATAGATCTTCGTCCGCCCGCACCTTCGGCGGCGCGGCTCGGCGCGCGCCATGGCGATGTGGATCGACCTGAACCGGGCGTGTGACCCGTGCAAGGCGTGCTGGGCATGCCTCGCTTCGCGGCTCGGAGCGGTTTCCATTCTTTGCAGGTAAAACGATGGCGCGACGAGAGAGAGAGAGAGAGAGAGAAAGAGAGGAATTCGCGCGTGATTCGCGAATAATTAAAGTCCGTCGCGCTCAGAGACGGATAAAAGGAAGAAATTCATCTCTTGCGCGAGAGAGCAACGTCCGATTTCTGTCCGATTGATATACACACACATATATATATATATATATATATATATATATAGAGAGAGAGAGAGAGAGAGAGAGAGAGAGGGATGTGTCGATACGTGTCGATTTCACGTCGTAATACCGGAATTAATGGGGATCGCGCGCTTTTACGACGCTAGCTCACCGCGTTTCTTCTCCGCATTTTCTAATTTTACCCGCGCGTTTGATCGATACATCCGCGCGCGATATATATCCCGTTTTCGCTTCGTTTTTCGCGCGAAATGTGACTCATCCGATTTCTCGCGAGCGATAGTCACGCGCGCACACGGATTTCCATTAAAGTTTTTGACGTCGAACGCTTCACTGAAGTTGAGATGTTAAAGATCGACGGATGGATATCCCGCCGGAGAGCTGCGCGGAGAGAGGCGTATTAATATCACACCCGCCGCTCTCGCGTATCTCGTCCGACGATATCGTCGTCGGCGAGCTGAGCGTGCATGCCCGGCGACTTGATAGACCGCGATGTTTGCGAGCGCAATAAATTTT